CGCCCCGTGTTGCCGCTGTCGTGGCTGGAGCGATGTTGCCTGCAACTCTGTTGGGATGCCTCCGTTAACATCTTAGGATGGAACAAAAAAAAATGGTAAGATGTTAACCATGAGCGTTTGTTATGATTTAACACGTAGGCTTTCGCGATCAATACTATCCAGACTAAAGGTTTATTTTATTTTATTTTGGGGTTAGATCGCGTTAATAAAACTGTGACGTTACAAGAATTCTTCACAATTCTGGCTAATCGCCTGATGATGCTGGTTGTTATGATCACCAGTGGAAACGTCGTACTCGAATTGTAAACGTTGTGGCGGTGTTTAACGACACATTTCTATTTACGCGATCTAACCCTCCCCAAAAAACCCTTCAGTATGTTTAGTCATTATTATATAAGTATTGGAGGTAACTGTCGTGCCCGGGGCAACACGACCACCCTACAGATGGGAACATACAGAGATGAGTCCAGGTTGCCGTACCACCTTCTGATGGCGAGCCCAGGGCGCTTAACCGATCTAGCAGACACCGGCCTTTCGAATGAAATGACGTTTCGGGCAATTGCCCTTCTATGAAGAAGACGAAGGGCCATTATCTAAAACATCGCCGATTGTTATCGATTTATTTTCAGGCCACGCACGCACGTGGTGTTGTCGTTGGCATGGAGCGTGTCGACTTTTCTTTCTCTCGTTGATCGCCGCTGCGCTGCGAATTCATCTCCACCGACCCGCAACTGCCGCGGTTCGAGTTGAGAACTCCCCCCACCCATCCATCCCAGCGGTGGTGAGACGCAAGGGCCGTTTAATAAGTGTCTCTTGGAAGCGGGTGGAACGCTTGAGAATGTCATCTTCTGCCACTCGTTATTGGTCACGCACTCATCCCTCTCGAGTCTCTCCTCTCTCTCTCTCTATCTCTCTTTGGGTCTCGTATTTCCTCCGGCCATTTCCCTTCTCTCCAATCACTGCTCTCATTATGCTTGCGAGGCCGCCAGTCGACTTTATAGCCACATGCGTGCGCCTGTTCAGAGACAAGTGCGCGCATTATTATCCAAAACTCGAACGCTGGAAAGATCGCGTAATTGCCAGCATTGCGTGCGCGTGTGTGTGTCGCGTGTCTGTGTGTGTAGATTGTGTGTAGTGGGGTGTGGGAGCGGTGGCGCAGCGGTTAGCGCGCTGCGTGCTGTGCTGACCACTGCGAGCACGAGTTCGACTCCCGCTCACAGCAGCCGCCAACATCGATGACGAATATCACGACTGCTGCTGGTTGTGTCTCCCTTAGGTAGACTCACCCTTAAATGAGTGTCCGGTGCTGTGTGTACTGTATTACGCGTCAGCATTTGGCGAGACAAAGGCGGCCGAGCTGTCGTGGTTCTGGCCACCCCTCGCCCCCACCCTTCACCCCCCCCCCCACCACCCCTTGTATTCCCTTACCGGCCTTCATCGGGTTGCTGGCACCCTTAACACAGCACTTGCCCCGACGGTCTGTTAAAGGCTATACGGGGTATCTTTGTCTTTGTGTAGAGGAGGGGGTCCCTTTTCCTCCCCGCCACCGCTTGCCGCCGCCCCTGCTGCAGACTTGCTCGAGGGTAGTTCTACAGGCTCCTGTTCCGCGTCCGTTCGCGGCGACGGCTGCGTCTGGCTGAAAGGCGTGCATTGTGTGGCCTGGGTGAAAATTCACTTAGCTGTGACAATGCCCGCTGCATCTGTTTCGAATTTTAGTCTCTCGCTCACTCGCTCTCTCTCTCTCGCTCTCTCTCAAACAAACAAAAATCCGCTTTAAATTGCCCCCGTCCATCTGCATCCCAGATCATGTTATAAGCAGCGCATCTCCTCGGGGGGGGAATAAACTTGGTTGTGGGGTTGGGGTTGTGTGTGGGGGGGAGGGGGTAAGGCAAGTAGGGTGGGGGGTGGGGTAGTGGGGGGGTAAGGGGAGGGGGGGTTGGGGTGTGGATGTTATCAGATTTATGTTCCATCAGGAATTCGTCTTATTGCCCTCCCAGTGTGAGTGCATGAGGGTGGGGCTGAATGGGCCACTGGTTCGTATGTACATTTATATATAGGGTACTGTATGTAGAACCGGTCAAGGGCCTCCCCTAGGTTGACTCAGCCTCTAATAAGTACTCAGTGCACTGTTGTGTAAACATCGCCACGAGGGAAACAAAGGTGGCCGGGCGTGGTGCTGGCCACCCCCCCCCCCCCTGTGTGCCGTGCCTGCTACTCGCTAACAGCACTTGCCACTACCGTCTGTTAAGTCTGTACGGGGGATCTTTGTCTTTTTTGTGTGATTTGTGTCGTGGTGAGCGGTGGTGCAGTGGTTCGTGCACCGTTTCGCCAAACCCGGCGTCCCAAGTTCGATTCCCGCTCACGGCCAACGTCGGTGACGAATAGCTGAAACCCGGTATTGGGCCTCCCCTGGATTTACTCAGCCTTAAATTAATCCCCGGTTCATCGGGCCCGACTTTAACCCAATTGGAAATGTAGGAGGAGCTCGCAGATGCCTTGAACGGTCCGGGCACAGTCCCATCGGTGAGCTCCGCTGGCAGGCGAGGCTGCGCTGGCAGGGACATGGAGTCCCGCATGCCCTAGCGGCCCTGCTGTTTGGCCCAATGCTTGTGGCGAGCGGTGGCGCGGTGATTCGCGGTCACACGGGGCCATACCACGGGGCCATACCGCGAACCGCAAACACGTCCGTGGTCCCGAGTTCGATCCCCGCTCACGGCTGACATCCGTTTCTGGAGTATCCGAAGCCTGTCCAGGGCCTTCCCCGTAGCTCCGCCTGCTCAGCGCACAACACGTTTGTCATATTAGCGCGCATTGCCTCTCCAGTGGCTTTACCAACATTTGCCAAAACGCGTTTGCCGGGCTCAAATTGAATTCCCCTTCGTCGCCAACTACCAAACACACCCGGCCGTGCACGGGCACCGAGGTGTCGCCTCCCACTGCCGTGTCGATCCTCTCTGACAAAGGTCCTCTCCCCCCCTCCCCCAACTCGAGCATGGGAGCACCTACGAAGGCCGGTGCGGCACACGAGGGGGGTGAGGGGGGTGACGCCGTTGCCCCCCCCCGTGCTGATGATGTTTACACAATGTATCACGTGTTCATTTAAAGGCCGAGTTGACCTGGGAGGGTATAGGGAGGGGGAGTGTTGCCATAACCACCACGCCCGCCCGGCCGCCTTTGTCTCCCCACGCCGCACCGGATACCCGTGTAAGGCTGAGATAATAATCATCGATCACTGCTTATTGGTGGCCGTGAGCGGGGATCGAGCTCGGGTCGTGACCGGTGTTGGGTGGCGCAGCGCGCTCACCACTACGCTACCGCTCCCCAGAGAGACCGGCAGAGAGAGAGAGAGAGGCGCGCACACACACGGGCACACGCGGTCATACGCACGCGCACACACACACACACGGTCACACACACACGGGCACACACACACGCGGTCACACACGCACGCACACACACACACAGTCACACACACACGCACACACACGCGCACACACACACGCGCGCACTGTCTACATTAACCGTAGACTGGCTCTCTTCCCAGAGTCGAGATAACACGGTTAGAGGCTCGTGTCGAGCGTATGATGATGATGGTGGGGGGTGGGGGTTGAGGGGTGATGGGGGGAGGGGTGATGGGGGAGGGTTACCAGCCCCAGGATATGTCGGAGGAATTAGCCCGGACGAATGTGCATAATGGGTGTTCACGTCATTATCTAATGAACTCATAGCTCCGGGTTGAGCGGTGGCGCAGTGGTTAGCGCAGCGCGCAATGACCGCCCCTGTAACTTTGAGTTCGATTCTCGGCCACGGGCTAACATCATCAGTGGCGACTTCTCTCTCATCTCGGGCTGGAAATGTCTCTTGTCTTCATCTCTCCTCTCTCTCTCTCTGTGTGTCTATCATATCACCGCATCTATTAACCTCGTGTCTCCATCTCTCTCATCTCACCGGGAGTTCATGCAAGGGGGCCGGGGGGGAATGTGGTATGTGACCATACTTCACCACGCTGGTCCCCCCCCCCCCATAATCCCCTTCCCCCAGCCAGCCCCTCTCCCTCACCCCCCACCCCGCCCTTGCGCTACCCCCCCCCCCACCCCCCGTGTTGAAGATATATTGCCTAATTATGAGCACGAGATTTTAATTAGACAAATATATAAAATGAGCGCCATGGTTACGCCTCAATTACGCAGAATGAAGCACAGTCGGGGTCGTAGCATTGTTGATGTGTTTGTTGTTGATGTGTCTGTTGTTGTTGTGTTCGTTGTTGTGCCTGTTGTTGTTGTGTTCGTTGTTGTGTTCGTTGTTGTGCCTGTTGTTGTGGCTGTTGTTGATGTGTCTGTTGTTGTTGTGTTCGTTGTTGTGCCTGTTGTTGTTGTGTTCGTTGTTGTTGACGTGACCAACACGCCACCATCGCAATGCGATGACAGGCGTTTAAGACGCTCTGCCCGAAACGTCGACTATTACATTGTTTAATCTGGCCACTTCGGATCGATTCCGGGTCTGATGACTTACTCACTCACCTACCTACTCACTCACCTACACACTCACTCACCTACCTACTCACTCACTCGCTCACCTACCCACTCACTCACCTACCCACTCACTCACCTACCTACTCACTCACCTACCTACTTACTCACCTACCCACTCACTCACTCACCTACCCACTCACCTACCCACTCACTCACTCACCTACCTACTCACTCACCTACCTACTCACTCACCTACTTACTCACTCACCTACCTACTCACTCACCAACCCACTCACTCACTCACCCATTCACTCGCTTACTCACCCACTGCATCAACAATTCGCTAACCCATTCATTCATCCATTCACTAACTCACCCCCTCACTCACTCATGCATTCACCCATTCACTGATCCATTCACTAACTCACCCCCTCACTCACTCATGCATTCACCCGTTCACTCACTAACTCAGTCAATCGCGTTCTCCTCTCTCACCCCCACCCCCTCCCGTCTCTCTCCACGTGCCAGTCATGAAGTCGGTGAGCGCCGGCGTCGGGGTGAGCCACGTGATGCCTGAGTCGTCTCCGCCGCTGGGCGCGCAGCTCCTGAGTGAGCGGTACCGGAATCATCACCACGTGCGACCTCACTTCGGTTTGACCTATGACCCCCCCCCACCATCACCCTCTACACCTCCACCCACACCCCCGTCACCGCAACGCCCCCCCCCCCCCCACGTTCCTGCATCGATCATCGATATCATCCATATGATGCATGCCTGTCACTCACTCATCCATATGGTCACTCCCCCACCACCACCCCCACACATTCGCCCCCAAACATCCACCCCCCGCCACCCCTACCCACTCACCCACTCACGCATCCACCCATCCACACACTCACCCATTCACTCACTGATCAACTTACTCAGCCATTAATTCGCTAGCTCACTCACTAGCTCACAAACTCAGCCACTAGTTCACCAACTCACCTATGACCCCAATCACTCACCCATTCACTCACTCACTCATCCACCCATCTGCACACTCACTCATCCACTCACTCATTGATCAACTCACTCACCCATACATTCACTAGCTCGCTCACTCACTCACTAGCTCGCCATCTCACTCATCTGCTCAATCACTCACCCATTCACTCGCTCACGCACTCACTCATCCACCCATCCGCACACACACTCACTCATCCGCTCACTCACTGATCAACTCACTCACCCATCCACTTGCTAGCTCACTCATTCACTCACCAACTGACTCATCCATGCAATCACTCAATCACTCACCCACCTACTAACTCACCCACTCACTCATCCATCCATCCATACGCTCGCTCAGCCACTGAACAAGCCACGAGTCACGGCGATGTCACGCCACGAACAGATGTCCGGGGCCTGCGGGATTTTCCCACCGAGGCTACACGAGGTACGAGTTGATGTTAATTGGCTACACGAGGTACGAGTTGATGTTAATTGGCTACACGAGGTACGAGTTGATGTTAATTGGAAACGTGAGCTACAGAAGCCAAGATGCTTCCTCTGCAAATCACGTGACCTTGTCGCCCCCCACCGCCTCCTCCAATTGGAGTCTCAAGTCGGTCTCTGACAGGTGTGAGAAGCAAATCATGTACCCATGAAAACCTCGCTGAGTCTGAGGATTCGTTGCGAGGAGGGTCCTGCCGCATCGGGATGTCTCGCCAATTCTGCTCACGCCCTCGCACACACAAAGACGAAGATTCCCCCTATAGCCTTAACAGACTGTCGGGGCAAGTGCTGTTAGCGAGCAGCACCTATGAAGGAGAGCACGATGGACGGCCTTCATAGGTGCTACTCGCTAACAGCACTTGCCCCGACAGTCTGATAGGGCTATGGGGGGGGGGGGGCTAGATACGATGGCCAACTCTCGCGAAGGACGTCTCTAGGGGAATCCTTAACGCCCGCTATGATGCGGCAGATGGCGAGTAGTAGTATTATTATTGTTATCATCATCATCATCACGCTTAGAACACACCGCGGTCATATTAACCAGGGCGGCCGGGCAGGAGTTCAAACCGCGAACCTCTGGAGCAAGGCGGCGAAAACCGGTAAAGTTGGGCCATGCGACGGCACGAGGGGGAATGGGGGGGGGGGGTCGACGTTCTCTACGTAAATAAATATAAAAATGTAACCGCGTGCACTTAATGAATGACATTAACAGTCGATTCGTTAATTTTGTCGCGACACGTCGAGTTCCCTGTCCGTGCGCGGTGCGTGGGCTGAGCGTGGTGAGCGACGTCAGCAGTGGGGTGAGGAGGTCTGTGGCTCAGTGGGTGAGGAGGTCTGTTTACACAATGCAGCAGGTGTTAATTTGAGGCTGAGTCGACCTAGGGGAGGCCCAGGATCGGTTCAGATAATTGAACCGGTTCACAGTGCAGCTCGCTAGCTACTACATTACTGCTCTGCACAGACACACACACACTGTTATACACACACACTGACACTCATACACACACTCACACTCTCATACACACACACACATACACTCTGATAGACACACAATCTCATACACAAAGACAAAAATCCCCCGTATAGCCACAACATACTTTTGGGGCAAGTGCTGTTAGCGGGCACAGCACACAAGCCGAGTGGGTGGCCAGCACCACTCCTGCCCACACCATCACCACCGCGACAACCACAATAACGACAACCACCATCTCGTAAATCACCACCATGACAACCACCACAACGATGATTGGGAGATGTGACGGCTGACGCTGGGCTTGTGCACGTGCAGGCGAGGGTCTGCGTGGAGGAGAGTCGCGGATGGAGGAGAGGGAGGCCCCCAGGTCGTGGCTGGAAGTTCGGGGCAGCCTCGCCAAACGCGACGGCGTCGGCGGGCCGGGCGGCGCCGGCTCCATTATGGCCGGAAAGCTCTCCCTGGGAATGCTCCCGCTGGCACTGCACTTCGAGGACGGTCAGATGAGATCCTTGCACCACCACCAGCAGCAGCAGCAACAGCAGCAGCAGCAACATCATCATCATCACCAGCAGCAGCAGCATCAACATCACCAGCTCGGCGGCGGCGGCATCGTCGGAGGCGGCGCTGGCGGAGGCGCGAGGGCGGAATCGGCGCTGGCCGCCGAAGACCCGAAGAAGGCCCGGAAATACCCGTGCCGGATCTGCGGCAAGCGGTTCCGCTTCAACAGCGTGCTGTCGCTGCACATGCGCACGCACACGGGCGAGAAGCCCTTCAAGTGCCCCTACTGCGACCACCGCGCAGCGCAGAAGGGCAACCTCAAGATCCACATGCGCACGCACACGCGGGCGGGCGCCGCCGACGCGGCCGCTGGCCCTCCCGCCACCGGCGGGGCCGGCGTCGTTGCTGGCGCCCGCGGTGGCGGCGCCGGCCCGCCGGGCGGGTCGTCTCTCCCGCGCAAGGCGGAGGGCGGCGATGGCAGCCGCCTGCTCATGGAGCTGGAGGAGAGGGCAGTGCTCAGGGACCTGCAGCTCAGGGGCGGCGCCGGTGCTCCCTCCGGTGCCACGGGTGACGCGGAGCGAGCGCCGGGCGAGGGCGCCGCGGCCGAGCGGGGGGAGGAAGCTGCCGCCGCTGCCGTGCCCGCAGGCCACCGCTGCTCCTTCTGCAAGGGCAAGTTCCGGAAGCGCGCCGAGCTGGAGCGCCACATCGGCATCCTGCACAAGCCCTACCGCTGCTCGCTCTGCCAGTTCGCCGCCGCCCGCCAGGACGAGCTGGCGCGCCACGTTGACGGCGCCCACGGCGCCGGCGCGGAAACCACCACGGTGCCGGCTTCGGCCGATCCGGCTTCGGCCGCGACGGCGAGCACGCCGGCGGCCGCGGCGACCAGGGCGCCGGCCACGACGGCCGCGCCGGCGAGCGGCGGCAGTGTCACCGCGGCGGCGGCGAGCGAGGTGCGCTGCGAGGAGTGCGGGCAGACGTTTGCGCAGGTGTGGTTCCTCAAGGCGCACATGCGCAAGCACAAGGGCTCGCTGGACCACGCCTGCACCGTGTGCGGGCGCCGCTTCAAGGAGCCCTGGTTCCTCAAGAACCACATGAAGGTGCACACCAACAACGCCAGCAAGCTCGCCAAGATCATCGGTGCTTCCGCCTCCGCCGCCAACTCCTCGGCCGCCAAGGGCTGCTCGCCGCTCGCAGTCACCGTTCGCCGGCAGCGACCGGCGGCGGCGCCGTCGACGTCGACGCCGGACGGTCCGCCGGCCGCGACCGACGATGCGGCGCGGGACGACGCGACGGCGCGGGGGCAGGCGTCGCCCTACGAGACGTGCGCCACCTGCGGCTTCCTCTTCCCGGACCGCGCCAGCCTGGCGCGCCACCGCAAGCTGCACGCGCGCTCCGACGAGATGACGGCGATGGCGACGGCGGTGGAGCGCGTCCGCCAGGAGGAGGAGGACGACGAGGAGGAGGAGCGGCGGCGGCGGCAACAGCAGCTGCCAGCGCTGCAAGCGGAGCACGCGGCCAAGAGGTCGTTCTTGGGGAGCCTGGAGCTGGCACCGCCGGCGGCGAGCGACGGAGCCATGCGGCGCGAGGCGGCGACGTGCGCCCGCCCCGTCGAGTTGGAGCCCGCCGAGAACTACCAGGCGTGGCGGCCGTACGCGAGGGGCCCCGCGGCGGAGACGCGCTTCCACGAGAACCTGCCGGATGGCGACGTGGGCGGCGGCGGCGGCTCGGGAGGAGGGGGGCAGCCGGACCGCGGGGACGTTGACGGCAGGGCGAGGAAGAGGGAGCGCGACTCGGACGAGAGCCCGCGGCCCAAACGGCGCGGCTCGCGGGCCGGGTCGGAGGGCAAGGACCGCCCGGCCAGTGCGGACGCCGGCGACGACGGCGGCGGAGGCGCCGTCAGGAGGAGCGGCGGTGGAGGATTCGGAATCGGCTTCAGATCCCCTGCGTGGCACGAGGCTCGCCCTGGAGACCGCTGGCGAAACTCGCGATGTCACGAGCCGCTTGGCGCTCGCTCCCGGCCGACGCGACACCAAAACCAACGGCGCCGCCAGCACCAGCAGCAGCACCAGCAGCGCAGTGGAAGCGACTGCGGGAGCTTCGGGGAGAGCGGGGGGAGCTGCAGCCCCGTGGGGGGGGGCGAGGAGGAGGAGGAGGGGGCGGCGGGCCAAGGCACGAGCAGCGACGCCGACTCCGTCTACGCCAGCGGCACCAGCAGCCCCGCGCCGGCGGACTCCCCGCGACGCGCCGAGTGCCGAGCCGCGGCCGCCATGGGGGAGGAGGAGGAGGGGGAGGAGGAGGAGGGGGAGCACCACGCCGAGTCTCCGTCGCCCACGTCAGGTGAGGAGGTGGATTTTCACGGCTGCGAGGAACTCCCCAGAGCCGGAGGTGCCCCGCGGAATCGACGCTGGGCGAATGAAGAGTCGGGCGTCACATCTTGTTTTATATTCAGAGAACACACCTTAGCCCAAGGGGCTCTCTGTAAGAGAGTTGAATTATAAATACATACATAATGAAAAGGGTGATTTGTACGGCAAGGGCGGTGCAAGGGCCCAGGAATGAGTGACCCTAATAGAGGGCACGTGGGGGTCACAAGAGGGTGATAGGGGAGGGACGGGACAGAGTGGAGGGGTGAAGAGAATGGGCGATGGAGAAGAAGTGGTGAGGCATTAAGAGAGGAACAGAAGGAGGTTATGGAGGGGGGCTGCTTTCGTGTACCTGTACAGGGTTAGTGTTGAGTCTATGTGCAGTGTTGATTATATGGGCAGTGTCGGGTCTATGGGCAGTGTTGAGTCTATGGGCAGTGTTGAGTCTATGGGCAGTGTTGAGTCTATGGGCAGTGTTGACTCTATGGGCAGTGTTGAGTCTATGGTGCAGTGTTGAGTCTATGGGCAGTGTTGAGTCTATGGGTAGTGTTGATTCTATGGGCAGTGTTGAGTCTATGGGCAGTGTTGACTCTATGGGCAGTGCTGAGTCTATGGGTAGTGTTGAGTCTATGGGCAGTGTTGAGTCTATGGTGCAGTGTTGATTTTATGGGCAGTGCTGAGTCTATGGGTAGTGTTGAGTCTATGGGCAGTGTTGAGTCTATGGTGCAGTGTTGATTCTATGGGCAGTGTTGAGTCTATGGGCAGTGTTGACTCTATGGGCAGTGCTGAGTCTATGGGTAGTGTTGAGTCTATGGGTAGTGTTGAGTCTACGGGCAGTGTTGAGTCTATGGGCAGTGTTGAGTCTATGGGTAGTGTTGAGTCTATGGGCAGTGTTGAGTCTATGGGCAGTGTTGACTCTATGGGCAGTGCTGAGTCTATGGGTAGTGTTGAGTCTATGGGCAGTGTTGAGTCTAGGGCAGTGTTTAGTCTACGGGCAGTGTTGAGTCTATGGGCAGTGTTGAGTCTATGCCTTGAGAACAACATTGGGGGGCCAGCTTGAGAACAACATTGGGGGGCCAGCTCCAACATTGGGGGGCCAGCTTGAGAACAACATTGGGGGGGGGCACTCTCGCTGACGAGTCTCCTCAAGTCTGGCGTCTCGTAGAGTGCCTCTCGCCCGGCTACATAAATATGGAAGCTTTGAGCAATGGAGGTTGGGGGTGAGTTGGATGTGGAGGTGCGGTGGTGATGTGTGGGTGAGGATGGTGGGGTGAGGAGGCGGGGTGAGGAGGCGGGGTGAGCATGTGGGGTGATCTGGTGGTGCCGGATTATTATCGCATGGAGTGACCACGGGATCTTTGTTTCTGTGTGTGCGTGTGTCCTTGTGGGGAGCGGTGGCGCAGCAGTTAGCGCGCTGCGCTACGAACCCGGTGACCCAAGTTGGATTCCCACCCACGCCCACTACTAACACCAATGACGAATATCGGAACCGGCCCTGGGCCTCCCCTAGGTCGACTCCGGGTGAAATAATTACCTGGTGTGCTGTATAACCATCACCACAGTGGAAAACAAAGGTGGTTAGGCGTGGTACTGGCCACCCACCCCCTCGTGTGCCACAGTGCCGGCCTTCATAGGTGCTACTGGCCAACAGCACTTGCCCCCACCAGATGGTTACACGCTTTCAGGGGCATCTTTGTCTTTGCGTGTGCTCTTACATTTCCAAGAAACGCGGTGTTTTTGTTTTAAGATTGGGGAATAATTGTGTATTTATGTAACTTCTTTCTAAGATTACTGGAATGTTTCCCCTGAGTTGAGTCGACGCCCGTGACACGCCAGCGCTCGCTGTACGCGTGTAGCGATGGCAGCAATCCGGATACGTGGAGGCTAAAACAAAAGTAGCAAAATAGTGAAACGATGATGACTCGTAGAATATTCCGCGCGATAAAATAAATAAGAGAAAAAAATGTACAATTTCACGTGGGCAAGTAAGAGACACGCAGATGTCAAGGGGAAGAAAGTAAATAATAACAGCCGCGTAGTCGTCAGTTCCCAGCGTCGTTAAGGGTCATCGCACGTAAATGATATATCCACTGCTGGATGAATGCCTCTGCCAACCTCCTACCACACCCACACTCTGGGAAGTCAGATGCCGTGGCTTGATGGGATGAACATAGACTGCCGTAGATGAAGAATCTGAATTTGTATTCATACTGGAGGAATCCGATGAGCTATGAAGCTCTTTGTCACAACTGTCCAGTAGGGGCGGGTAAGAACGCTTCAACAATAAACGATACAAACACACGATAGCAGAGCAAAGTATGAGAAAGGTAAAGAAATAACTTCAAAATATTCAAACGAAACGAAACTATCTTTATTTTTCCATGGCAAGGCTCCGTGAGCTATGTGGCTCTTTTTCAGGAGCGACCTGGCCACAGATGTCAGCTCAACGAAGTGGCTTATCACGTGGACATTGATAGCAGCCAAATGCTCGAGATGCACGTTGATTCCAAATGTGGAGGGAAAAGCCGGAGGACCCGGAGAAAAATCCACGCGGCCACGGGGAGAAAAAGAGAGAGACACGCAAACTACAAATATGCAGCAGGGGTAAGGGTCGCGATTGAACCCACTACCTCATGTATACCAGGCGAGGTAGTTAACATCTCCTAGCCACTACGATGATGATGAGAGATAGAGAGAGACACGCAAACTCCAAACATACAACAGGCGTCAGGGTCGGGATCGAACCCACGACCTCCTGCATACCAGGCGAGGTAGTTAACATCTCCTAGCCACTGCGATGATGATGCGAGAGAGACACGCAAACTCCAAACATACAACAGGTGTCAGGGTCGGGATCGAACCCACGACCTCCTGCATACCAGGCGAGGTAGTTAACATCTCCTAGCCACTGCGATGATGATGCGAGAGAGACACGCAAACTCCAAACATACAACAGGTGTCAGGGTCGGGGTCGAACTCACGACCTCCTGCATACCAGGCGAGGTAGTTAACATATCCTAGCCACTGCGATGATGATGAGAGAGAGACACGCAAACTCTAAACATACAACAGGTGTCAGGGTCGGGGTCGAACCCACGACCTGCATACAAGGCGAGGTGGTTAACATCTCGCTTCTGCCGTCGAGGATAAAACCGGAGTGGCAACCCAAGGAATGGTAATGCATCCAAGAGGTGCGTGTGTATGTTGACCTTCTTTTGCACCGTACGTAGCCAATCGTTCTCGTAGCATCGCAGGTACCATCGTGAGAGATGGAGGTGCGGATTGGGTGAGGATTTCATCGAGCAGTGGATTGACCACGGCTGTTATTTCTGTCGGTATTGCTGCTGCTGTATGATGATGGATGCGTTAAATTTAATTTAGCCAAGATTCTGTGGAGTAATATTTTGTTCCATCTCCACCGCTACTCGACGCGATTGCTTCATTAGACACACAAGTAGCGAACACGCTATTAATGACGGCAATTACTAGGCAGACACACGCAAAAAAAAATATGTCTTATTATGTTTTAATTTATATTCATATGCAAGTCGTGGGGCTTTGTCAAATGAGTCACACTTTGGGATCCACGGTGTCGTAATTTAAAAGGAATCGCCTCGCTTCCGTATCGATTCGCGTGTATCGATTCATTGATACAACCCGGCCCCCACCCCTAAAATCAATATCGACTCGTTAAAGGTAAAGGCGCAGGCCTGCAAATTCGCCTGCACGAGAGGCGGCTCGAGAGAGTTTCCGTTTTGAAGTGGAGGGAACTTCCGGCCCAGACTTGCACGCTGACTCGAAGAGGTGGTGAGTGTGCCCACGCTTTACAAGGACAAAGATCCCCCGTGTAGCCTCAACAGACTGTTGGGGCAAGTGCTGTTCGCGAGCAGCACCTGTGAAGGCCGAGATGGGGGTGGGTGGCCAGCATCGCGCCCGGCCGCCTTTGTCTCCTGAGTGGCGATGTTTACACACCGCACCAGATTACTCATTTTGAGGCTCAAGTCGACGTTGGGGTGGCCCAGATCCGGTTCAGGTCATCGTCGCCGGTGTTGGCCGTGAGCGGGAATCGAACTCGGGTCGCCGGGTCTGTAGCACGGTGCGCTAACCGTTGCGCCACCGCTCCCCCCACCACCCACACTTTACCCCACCACCACCACAACACCCGAGCTGCCGATCATAACCTCAAACGTGAACACATTTATACATCGGCTGCTGCTGCTGCTGCTCGGTGGACGGAGGTGATGAGGGAGCTTGATAGCTCATCGGATTCTTCCGGGATAAATAAAGATTGTGGTACGTGGTAAACTCGCCCCCCCCCACCGTTATGTCACCTGCCGCACCGGGAGATAGAACGGGCGACATGTGGATCACAGGTTACATCGAGATCGCCTGACAAATATTTGTCAATTATTATTATTATAAAATCCCAGGGTACTGTTGAGTCCATCGGGCGACGTTGTATCTCATACCCCCATTTTTACGCCCTCGCCCCTCCCTCCTTTTACGTCGTTTCGCACTTACGTCGTGACGTCAAAGTCAATACCACCGCTACCCCATTTGCCGTCGCCTTCAATCCCACACTGACGTCGCTGACGGCAATCGTCCGTCCTTTCTCGTAATCCGTCGCCTCCACCACCACCGCCACCTACTAACCACTCACTCACCCTGTCCATCGATTCGCAGGACGTCGTTTGCACATTCGTCGTAGCAACTTTCAGGAACGCATCCCACGACGTAAACCGGGGAATTGGTGTACCAATCGTTAAACGATTCCTCCCCCGCCCCCCTCGACTCCCCCCGCTCCCCCGCCTCTCCCTCCCCCACCGCTTACCCCCCCCACCCCTCCCTCCCCCCACCGCTTACCCCACCCCTCCCTCCCTCCCCACCCCCCTCCCCGCTTACCCCCCCCACCCCTCCCTCCCCCCACCGCTTACCCCCCACCCCTCCCTCCCTCCCTCCCCCACCACACCCCCC